TTTAGTATCTGGGGTTTTTGAGGCTGTGCGCTTTTAGTAAGGGATTTTAAAAGGCCAGGATTCACGTTGGGTCCGGAAAAAAAGCGAGGTTAGTTGGGTCTAGCATGTTGAAACCGGTATTTTATGCTCCTGAGCATGAAGCTTTGGGGTTTCGCGCAACATCTCATAGAAAGGAGCTGGGGATGCTTTACTATTAAAGGAAGAGCCTGGTTTAACGTTAAAGGAGCTGCTTCTACTCATCGCGCACAGGAAAAATCTCTGCCCGACTGTGAGTCGCAGGCTGCTCACCCAGGAGGAGTCCCATGGAGACGCAGAGGAAGGGGACGCTGGTAGCCTGCGTGCTCAGCAGGCAGCCCCCTCCGACCAAGCCGGCCCCGATCATGGAGGTCGGCCACTCGCCCAGCCTCCTGCAGACCACGGCCACGAGCGGGGCTGGAAGGGAAAGGAGGGAGAAATCTCGGGCTGAAGATGTCAAATGAGGCTTTGCGGGGCTTTGGGGACTTGCATTGGGGTCCTTGCAACTGGTGCCCCGGCGAGCGGTCCATGTGCCACTCTGGGAGGGAGGGGGTGACACTAGAAATTTGGGATGGGTTTGATATTCAGGAGCACCAGGAGAGCGGGCAAGAGACCTTGCCTCGTACCCTGGGAGCTCGGAGGACGGGGCAGGGGAAGGAATCAAAGGCCAAACTTTTGGATGTCCTGAGCCTGCTTCCTAATGCACACGCCACGCTCAGCTGCCACGAATTATTCAGCAACTGGTTTGCTCAGGGGCATTAATATTGGTGTTAGGGGCGAGGCTTTGCTCTGGATGTGTGTAATAAACCTGCTACAGCGAGGCGGCGTGACACACACGATCCCCATCCTTGGACCGTGCTCCTGCTAAGACACGCGTGGGTACCAGCCGTGTCCGGCTTGCAGTCTGGGATGGACATCGGATCTGCAGAGCATCCTCAGCGCCCCTTAAAGCAAATGGGCTTGAGGCTGAAGCGCTGCCCCCATCCTTACGGATGCCAGCTCACCTCCTAAGAAGCGCAGGGAGGACATGATGGAGCCGATCCAACTGACTTGCTCGGAGGAGCCCCCCACCTCCTCTTGGAAAGCCACAAAGAAAATCCCAAAGGTCTTGAGCATCCCCATCGTAAGTACGTTGACCTGAATTGGAAGCAGACGGAGGTGAGATGCCACAGGGGTGAGGCGGGAGGGAAAGCGTTTCCTTCTGCTTTTCTTGTGTGGATAATTTGTGGCGTCTGGGGAGAAGCAAACCGGGACACGTTAACTGGTGTAGCGTGTGTTGGGGAGTATCAGCAGGGTGGACTGGTGGTGGCCACGCTGCGGGTCATTAACAGACCCTCGAAAAACCTTCTGTGCAAACTGGCTTTTCCAAAGAAAAGGAACAAACTAACACCAGAGCCTGACTCTTGTAGGGTTTTTTTGCTCTGTAAGTTATTTTTTAATACTAAAAAATAATCTAAATGGGTCTGAGCACTCTGAAAGATCACTAGGAGTTGATGAGGTGTTGAGCGGAGCAGGGATGGACGTTAGCCGGTGCGGTTTCCCAGGCTAGCCCTGCCACGGGGGCAAAGGATGGTTTGTGTCCTCAATGTTAACTCCCTCCCTCCCTCCTCCCCGGCAGCGGGTGGTTAATGATTGGCAGCGAGTCACTTTGGATGGAGTGGAAGCGGGGTAAAGCTTCCCTGTGCTTCCCAGCTTTCCTAGCTGGGGGATGGCGTTGTCTTCATCGCTGATGGGAAGATGGTGTGTGGTATTAAAGCCTGTAGCATGGAGAATTAGTGCTTTCAAGTGGTGTCGAGGTGCCCGGTCCTTCCAGGAGAGCATAACTGAGCGTGTGTGCTGCCTGCACCCTCTGCTGCTCCTGCAGTTGGTCCCTGGGGACCCATCTCAGCTCCGATCCTCTGCTGCCCCAAGATGGGATCTCGCCCTTACCGGAGGTACAAGACACTCCTTTGGGATTTGACACCCCAGTGACGGCGTGTGTGAGTAGGGAAAAGTCACCTTATCGTTGCAAGCTGCCTTTTGGCCCTGGGCTGCGGGATGGGCCCCTTCGCTTACATCAGCTGAGATGTTTCCAGGTGGCATTTCACAGGGGAAGGTGTGGGTCTTTGCTCAGCCTGCGGTGAAATGGGTGATGGCACTCGGCGTAGCAAAGCACCGCTGATTTTTGCCCTTAGCTCGGTGGGATCCGCCTGTCCTGTCCTCCGCTCCGTGTGAGCGAGACTCGAGACTTTCTATCTGCCCCAGCTTCAGGAGGGTTTAGTTGAATTTGTTCTCTGCTTACCAGGAAGAAGTGAAACACCACTCCCCACGCCCACCCTCCGTCCGCAGCTTCGGCGCCTGGTCTCTTCCCAGCTGCCGGAGCCTCCGGCTCTTCCATCTTCCTTTCCCCTGGAAATGAAAATTTCAGGACACCTTAACACCTTCCTCCGTTGCTGTTTCAATTCAAAAACAGCTCCTGTGAAAGCTTCAGCTGCCTTTGAACCCTTTTGCTCCTTGGCTGTTAATGAGGTAGGCACCAGGTAACCTTGCAAAAGCTTTTGAGGGTGGGCGAAGCTTTTATCAACCTTTTTGCCAACAGATGTTAAGTTGCACATTATCACTGCCTGCAAACAGTTTAATATCCTTTCTCTTTCCCACCAAATTACTGTAACCACTTAAGCTTTAAGGGATTTTAAGTGACAAGCACCTTACTGCTGCTTTAGCGTGGATAGTTCGGTTGGTTTGTGCCAGAAGTCGGGGCGTCACCGTCTATCTGTATCCATCTTTGAGCTCTCCCTTCCCCATCCTTCTCTGCTCCTCTCCCTTCCATCCTCTCACCCATCCCGCACCTCTGGCAGCGGCAGGATCCTGCCCAAGGGAGCAGCTGGACCCTAGAGCAGTCGGGGCTGATGAACCTGAAACTTTTCCTTACCGCCTTGCTGCTGCATGCTGGAAAATCCTCCCTGAAACAGTCGACTGCAAAGAGGAATTGTCTCTTCATTTGCTCCAGAGACTAAATCCCCCCTTCCTGACTTGGCACCCCGAAGTCTGGTCCTTCATTCTCTTCCGGTGAGCAGGATGGTGTCCGTCCTTCCTGACGAGTCCCGAAGCGGGACACGGAGCCCGACAAGCGCTGGGGGCTGTGTGGACGGAGCCCGTCCTCCTCCTCCCGGGAGGCAGAGCCTGGCTTGCGGGGCCCCGAGGCCAGGAGTCCCTCCCCTTCCCCAGCTGGGAGCAGGAAACCCGGGGGCTTTCGGAGCAGAAATCCTGTTGGGAGGAAAGAGGAGGGGAAGCCTGCAAGGGTTATAGCTCCAGGCAAAGCCTTGAGCCTTGCCAGACGTTGAGCAGAGCAGTAGGTGGCAATGGTGGACTGAAGCCAAGCCTGGGGCTACTGGCGGCTGCAGGGGAGCAGAGCCCCGTCCTGCCCCCCCTGCCTCTGCTGCACAGCCCTTGGCCCGGGAAGCTGCGTCATTTAGGAGGGGATAGTCTGGAAAGCTTGAGGTTTTCCAGCCGAGATGCTCGGCAGCTGGAGCGGAGCAGCCGTGCTGCTGCAGCCCTTGAGCGGAGCTGGTAGTTGAGCGGGATTTGAGTTGGCCCCATGCCTCTATTGTAAATATGCACAAACTCCCGGGTAAATACAGCCCTCACGCTTCCTCCCCCCCCTTTTGGCTGAC